AGATATTCCACAAAATAAAATATATGAATAGCAATAAATATATGAAAAAATGCACACCTTCTTAGTAATCAAGGAAATGTAAATTAAAACCACAATGAGGTACTATTCCTCAGAAAATAGAAGTGCTAAAAGAGAAGTACAGGGTCCAGAATGAGGATCCTATACTACTTTATACAATGCTAGTCATACCATACTTGGATTCTAACAATTAATTCCCATACTATCTTTTGTAGAAGAGAGAAACTGACAAACTGAAACATATTTACAGACACCTGTAGAGATCACAGAGTATGAAGAATGGTTAGAGGAAAGGAAATAGTAAGTTGGAGAAGAGAAAGCTTTGTATTACAAGGATAAAGATGAGTTTATAATGGGTCATTATTAGAATTAAAGAAACATGAAAGGAAACATTTCAACTTAATCTCAGAAAATAATTTTCTAATGCTTTGAGCTGATCAAAAGCAGACCAGATAGGTGTATATATAAACGGGAGTTTATTAAGAAACATTGACTCACATGATCACAAGGTGAAGTTCCACATTAGGCCATCTGCAAGGTGAGGAACAAGAAAGGCAGTCCAAGTCCCAAAACATCAAAAATAGGAAAGTCGACAGTGCAGCCTTCAGTCTGTGGTTGAAGATCCAAGAGTCTCAAAGATGAAGAACTTGGATTCCAATGTTGGAGAGCAGGAAGCATCTAGTACGGGAGAAAGATGTGGGCTGGGAGACTAAGCCAGTCTAGTCTTTCCAAGTTCCTTTGTCTGCTTTTATCCTAGCAGTGCTGGAAACTGGTTAAATGGTGCCCACTCAAACTAAGAGTGGGTCAGCATCTCCCAGTCCCCTGACTCATATGTTACTCTCCTTTGGCAACACCCTCACAGACACACCCAGGAACAATACTTTGCCTTCTTCAATCCAATTAAGTTGGCACTCAATATTCACCATCACAGAGGGTTAGGCTGACTTTTTAGGTTTTAAAGGGTTTAAAATTCCACCCTATCCCTATTCTGTCTATTCCTAATGATAACCGAATTTATTCGCTTCTCCTGCTGAGTCAGTGATACCTAACGGAAGAGTGGGGCAGTAACTCTAACTCAAACTATCAGAAAGTTTTGGAAAGAGGTGTTGCTTTTTTATAGAGTCCTATTGTTCCCTGAGACCATTTACTGTTATTGCTCAGGGACAACCCATGAAAGGACATTCTATCCTTCTGCTGGAATTCTGCACAGGGCTAATAAAAATTAAATCTCTAAGCCTGGCTTTTCGAATGTGTGCACGTTTATTTTCTACAGGTGAGTGGCACCCTCTAGTGGCTCTAATTATGAACTAACTATCTGGGGTGAGATCAAACATTTGAACACAATACTTCCAAGAGTACTTCTGGTAAGGAATCTGAAAGTTGCTTCCTGCTAATGCACATCACTACATAGCAGGTAACCAAAACAGGCTAAGAATTACTAAGCATAACACTCTGTTACTTAAACTACCCTATTTCCACTGCAGATAATTTCCCTTCTGCTGGCACTTGAGGAGAACAACAATATATCCTCTAATGTGCAGTAATTTTGTGTGTGATTTACATATTTATGTGTTAATGCGTTGTGTGTTAATAGAGGAAAAATGTTGTATTACTGGTCTCCCATCTGCCAGAGCAGGCAGGAAGGTGGGCACCAGGGCATCATTGAGTGATGCTGGTGGTTCTTCCAAAAAAATCAAGGCTCTTTGAAGACCACCAAAACCCCAAGCATTCTTATTTTTGAATCAGGAAGATTTGGTTACTCTTTGTGTCCCCATCCAAATTTCATCTTGAATTGTAATCCCCATAATCCCCACGTGTCTAAGGAGAGAACTGGTGGGAGGTGACTGGATCATGGGGGTGGTTTCCCCCATGCTGATCTAGTGCTAGTGAGTTCTCATAAGATCTCACAGTTTTATAAGGAGCTTTCCCTGCATTGTTTCTCACTCTTCTCTTTCCTGTTGCCATGTGAGAAGGTCCAAGCTTGCTTCATCTTTGCCTTCCACCATGACTGTAAGTTTCCTGAGGCCTCCCAAGCTATGCAAAACTGTGGGTCAATTAAACCTCTTTTATTCATAAATTACCCAGTCTTTGGCATTTATTTATAACGGTGTGGAAACAGACTAATACACACCACTTCACAGTGTATCAAACATAAAAATTCAAATGTACCTATACCCTTACTTAAATATAAATATTAAATAAACATATTCTAAGATTTGTATAACTTTGTTTTTAAATTTAAAAATTTTCAACCACAAGCAATTCATTAAAATGTACTTGTCAGTGATTTCTCTGCAGAAACAGGAATTCTGCTTATGTGAGATTAAAATGTAAACTTCAAATTGTTTTCAAATGAAATGAAATTTTTATAAATGCTAAACTTGGCCGGGCACTGCTCACGCTTATAATCCCAGCACTTTGGGAGGCCGAGGTGGGTGGATCACGAGGTCAAGAGATCGAGACCATCCTGGTCAACAAGGTGAAACCCCGTCTCTACTAAAAATACAAAAAATCAGCTGGGCATGGTGGTGCGCGCCTGTAGTCCCAGCAACTCGGGAGGCGGAGGCAGGAGAATTTCTTGAACCCAGAAGGTGGAGGTTGCGGTGAGCCGAGATCGTGCCATTGCACTCCAGTCTGGGTAACAACAGCTAAACTCCGTTTCAAAAAAAAAAAAGCTAAACAATATTTAATAAAGTTGACATTATAATGTTTTTCAAAAAGTTCATTAAACATTTCTATGTTTTAATTTTGTAGTGTTTTTGTAGGCAAATAATAATAATATTTTTACTTTCTCAAAAGTTTAAAAGTAGGTAAAATTTTGCTCCTGGAAATGGTGGAGTAGGTGTTCTGGAACAACTCTCTTGATAAAAGAAATTTAAAATGATGAAAGATACTTTTATAATATATGAGAAATAGCAAAGACCTCAAGAGGAAAGTGAGGGATTATCAGGGCAAGAAAAGAGGATGAATTAAAACTCCAAAGAACTCAGTGATAATAAAGAATGCTTCTGCTGAGGGAGCATTTGCCATTTGCTGACCAAGAAAATTCAGCTACTTTTGGTATGGCAAATGAAAATAACTCACCTGGGGACTCTTAATTCTGAGTGAGGAGTGAGAGCACAGCAGCGTCCACTCGAAAAGAGGAAGGGAGTTAGTACTATAGTAGTATAAGACAAATCATGTTCATTTTGCCAAAAAAAAAAAAAAAACAGAAGGAAGAGTCTCCTGTTGCGGAGGCCAAAAAGTGCAATAACAGTAGCCCTGATATTGGCAATGAGGAGAGTGACTAGATCATTCTGACTTACTTTTGCCTGATTATTTGTATAAAGATTTTGAGTTGTGTCTAAAAAAGGCAAGAGCTAGCTAAGTGGAGAGGTCAGAAAAGGTTATGAGAATGTGGGGAGAAGGTGAAGGAAGAAACAGGAAGAGCAAAGGCATGAGAGTGACCATGACGATTGCAGTGCGCAGCCAATAATGATTCCATACATAAGGAAGTTAGTTTGGGGGAGGAATAAGTAAGACTGTATGAGTGGTATGGGGCTAGATTATGGTGAAAACTATTTAGCAAGATAATTTAGGATTAGTTTGATAGTCAATGGAGAGTTAATAAGTATTTCTGCCTACACTGTCTTCAGTGACATATGAAATTTGTGTTTTAGGATGAAAAAATAGCTAACTTTTTTTTTGTACTTTCTTTCTTCCAGGCAGTGAGTTAACAGTTAATAGTTAAGAAGGTGGCTTCTGGAGTTGGTTGGACCGGATTCTAGTCCTGACTCTGGAATTTACTAGCTATATGACTTTATGAAAATTATTTTCCCGAGCTTCAGTTTCTTCATCTGTAAAAGTAATGTAGCAGTATCCACCTCTCGAGGTAGTTTTAAGGACAACGGGTAAAGAGATTAATTTGGAATTAGTACTTAAGACAGATTGGAGAAGGGAAAACCTGTGGGCATGGAACAGTTACAAAGCTATTGCAATTACTGAGCCTAGGCAAAGGTAGTAAATCACTAGACTGGTTTAAACCCCAAAGGAAAAGAAGCAGGACAAGTAACTGACTCCTTCCCTCCACTCTCATTCATCTTGCAAATTCCTTTTTTTCTGTTCATTTAACATAACCTTGGAACTTGAAACCACACGTTGAAGTATATGGTCCGTCTCTGGACACTATCAACTGTTTGCTTATTTCCCTAGAGCTACAAATAAACATCTGGTCTCTCTCTTCTCCATTTCAACATCTGCAATATGTTTTCCAAAATCCCTCACTTCAGTCAGTTAAAAAGCAAAACAAAAATCATTCATCTTATTACACAATATGTTCAATTTTTTCTTTGTAATTTCTTCCTCCATTCTTAAACTTGCCAATCAGGCCTCCTGCAAATTCCCACCAAAGCAGGGTTTCCTAATTTAACAAAACGCAAAACTCAAAAAGAAAACCAATCCTGCCATTTCTGGCTTAGGGAAACCTGAAACTTTCCTTCAATACTCTGTGGCATTGCTCAGTACTTTAGTGTCTAATTCCTCTAACGAGCTAAGATCAGAAAAACCACTATGCAATAGCAATCTTAAAATGCGCAAGGCTTTGAGAACATGGGTTTTCAACATACAGCTTGCTCTTTCAGGATCTGTCTTCTTATTTGCATACATTGCTGAGCAGGAAGTTATACGTAGTACTTTTAGTCTCCGCGTGTAAAGGTCCTTCAAGCTAATCTAATTCAATTCAGTTCTTCTTTTTCTTTTTCTTTCTTCTTCTCCTAGCCCTCTTCTCGGAGAAGGAATCGTCAAAAAATCAATGTTTCAACAGATCTCGCGGTGCTGTTCGAGATTCCCTATTTAAAAAAAAAATAGAATTCATGCAACAGCCTGTTCCTTCCAGGGTTTTGGGCTGAAATTGCGGTGCTTAGAGAGCCCGGTGGAAGCTGCTAAAGGCGGAGGCGGGGCTCCGGCGAGTTCCCCTTCCACCTTCCCCCACCCTTCTCTGCCAACCGCTGTTCAGCCCCTAGCTGGATTCCAGCCATTGCTGCAGCTGCTCCACAGCCCTTTTCAGGACCCAAACAACCGCAGCCGCTGTTCCCAGGATGGTGATCCGTGTATATATCGCATCTTCCTCTGGCTCTACGGCGGTAAGGAGAGTGGGGAGTCCACCTTTGTTGTTTTTCCTACACACCAGTCCTCTGCTGCCCCAGAACCATTAAATTGCAGAAGTTTTTCTGGCAGCTTCTTCTTCGGAAGACTCCTGCATCCCCCACTCCACCCCTCTTCTTCCCTTTTTTCCCTTTGTTGCAACGATCTCATTTTTTTCCCCATAGAGTTCAGCTTTGTTTGCCTCGTGACGTTGGGGGCCAGGTTTCTCCTTCGAAGGAAAAAGAAAGCTACCAAGTTTTGGGAGATGGGAAATGGTGGTATACGGTCTTTAGAGTTAGGCGAAGTCAAGTAAAATCGCACACTGGTGAATTTTAAAGAGTGAGAGAGATATTTGATGAATACGCTGAAAGTACTGAGGCAAAGAGGAGTGCATTTCTGTAAAGGATGGGGGTACACGTGCTGTAACTGATGGGGATTGAGTGGAGGGCCTACTGAGGCATTGTGATTATTTTGGGTGAGTGAGACCCTGGTAATAGAATTACTTTGAGAGTGTGTAAAAGAAAGTGGTTAACTTGAGCTTAAAGGCCTGTTAGAACTAGACAAACTGGGAGGGAAAGTTGGGAACAATGACATAATTTTTTTTTTTAATATTACAAGGATTCAGTCTTCCCCCTATATTGTCCCTTATTTTGACTTTTTCTATTCTTTCAAAGTATTTTAAAGTTCCCTCACTGCTTCAAATATATTGAGAACTGGAAAGGGAGCTAAGTGGCTTCTTGTGTAGTGGCAAGTTGAGTGTGTGCTGCTTCAAATGATAGGACTTTCTCCTTCATATATTCACTTACTCTTAATTTAGAATAACAATTTTTTAGCAGCTGTGGGGAGAATATGATAAACTGGGGTGAAAGATGAGTGTGTATCCATGATCAGTGAAAGTGCTTCTGCTTTTCCCAACTCAAGAGAAAAGCCAACAGTGGCAAGAACAGATGTGTGGTTTCAGGATGTAGGATACAGGGACCTCCTTCCATCTTCTTGAGCTTTAGAGGAGCAACTAATTTAGATTATTGTGTGTTTTTATTTTTTGGCTTGTTTATTTACACCTGAGAGGATGTGGAATAGAACTGAAGGTTATGTTAAATCACAAAGACTTTGATCTTCGAACTTTGTCTTCTCTGGCCATTGTGTGTGAATATGTTTATACAATTTTGGAATATCAGAAAATATAATATTACATTTTTGAACAAGTTTAGGTTGAAAAAAAGAACAATTTATCGCATATATATATATTATATATATATTTTGTTTGTTTGTTTGTTTGAAACGGAGTTTCTCTCCTTACCCAGGCTGGAGTGCAATGGCGCGATCTCGGTTCACTGCAACCTCCGCCTCCTGGGTTCAGGCAATTCTCTTGCCTTAGCTTCCTGAATAGCTGGGATTACAGGCACGCGCCACCATGCCCAGCTAATTTTTTGTATTTTTAGTAGAGTCGAGGTTTCACCATGTTGACCAGGATGGTCTCGATCTCTTGACCTCAAGATCCACCCGCCTTGGCCTCCCAAAGTGCTGGGATTACAAGCGTGAGCCACCGCGCTCGGCCTATTGTTTAATATTGCAAAGTAAAGTTTGAGTTGCTCAAAGTCTCAACTCAAGTCCAGCTTCATGTCTTGAGTTAAACCCCCAATGAGACTGAACAGATCAGGAAGTTAGTTTTGCTTTGGGAGTCATGCAGTTTCAATACCTTTATTTACTCTTTGCTTTCTCCTTCTACCCCGCTCTCAAAAGTAGATTCAAGAAAAAACTGCTTTCAGAATTTCTATTCAAGTAAGAATAACTGCATCACTCTTTGTTAAGTCTTAAGTTTCTAAGAGACTTAGAAATGGGTGCTGTCTTCTATTATTTCCTTTATTGGACACTATTGTTTCTTTTTATTTCAACTTTTATTTTAGATTCACATGGTACATGTGCAGGTTTGTTACACAGGTATACTATGCAGGGTTTGCAGTACCATTGAACCCGTCACCCTAGTAATGAGCGTAGTACCCAATAGGTAGTTTTACTACCTTTGCCTTCCTCCCTCCCTCCTCTGTAGGCTCCAGTGTCTATTTTTTCCATCTTTATTGGACTTTATTGTGGAAGACCATGCAAATGGAGGACGTTTATGGTATTTGTATTCTATTTCATTTTTTATCATGGGTAATTAGAAATTTGTCTACTGTAGTAATTTCAGTTGATATAAAGTTGTTATCAAAATTCTATTTCATAATACCAAAATAAATCCTTGCATTATTATAATATTACAACACTTTTAAATAATACTAAAACAGTGTAAAGTGAGTACTTGTTTATAACATGAATGGATTGGTGATCATTTACTTCAGAAAGGCACTTTTCAGTTTGCAGTACTAAAGTTCTTCTTTAAGATTGATGCCCGCCTTGTTTGTTTTAATACAGAAGTTAGAAAATTTTCAGCAAGTATCCTGATAGAACCCTACAATTACAGAAAGTGAAATACTTCAATAAGTAACTAAGTTTAGTTGTCTGAAGAACAGTTAAAAGCTTCTTTGCTTTGGATTGATAGTAGCTGACTGTTTCTTAATCTTCCTCCTGGTTGTCATTAAAAAATAATAATAATAGATGTTATACTGGGAAGAGTGGGAGATCTGGATCTGCGATAATTGGCAATCAACGTCAACTTATTTTGTCTATATTCGAAGACTCTTTGTACATCATACCCTTATTTATTTATTTATTTATTTATTTATTTATTTGAGATGGAGTTACGCTCTTGTTACCCAGGCTGGAGTGCAATGGCGCGATCTCGCCTCACCGCAACATCCGCCTCCTGGGTTCAGGCAATTCTCCTGCCTCAGCCTCCTGAGTAGCTGGGATTACAGGCACACGCCACCATCCCCAGCTAATTTTTTGTATTTTTAGTAGAGACTGGGTTTCACCATGTTGACCAGGATGGTCTCGATCTCTTGACCTCATGATCCAACCGCCTCGGCCTCCCAAATTGCTGGGATTACAGGCGTGAGCCTTATTTAAAAAAAATGTTTAAAAAATGTGGCCTAACAGTGAAGAGTAGCACTTGCTTCTCAAAAGTTTAGAAATGTAAACAAGTATGTTGGCCTTTGCAATGGATTTCTTTTTTTATTTTTATTTTTATTGATATGTCATAATTGTATGTATTTATAGGGAACAGGTGATATTTTGATACATGCATACAATGTGTGATGATCAAATTAGGGTAATTAGGATACCCATCACTGCAAATATTTATCATTTGTGTTCTGAACATTACAAATATTCTAGCTGTTTTTTCTAGCTAGACAACAAATTATATTGGTAACTATAGTCACACTATTTTGCAACTGAACAGTGGATCTTATTTCTTCTATCTAACTGTATTTTTGTACCCATTAACCAACCTCTCTTCATTCCTCTTTTCCCCCTACCCTTCTCAGCCTCTGGTAACCACTATTCTACACTATATCCTTGGGATCAACTTTTTTAGCTCCCACATGAGTGAGAACCTGTGATATGTCTTTTGTCTTTCTGTGTTACATCTTCATTCACTCAAAGTAATGTCCTCCAGGCTCACCCATGTTGTCACAAATAACATAATTTCATTATGTTTTATGTCTGAATAATATTTCCTATTCATTCATCCATTGATGGACACATATCATAGCTATTTTGCATAGTTCTTTAATAAACATGGGAGTGCAGATATTTCTTTGATAAAATGATATCCTTTCTTTTGAATCTATACCCAAAAGTGAGCTTGCTAAATCACGTGGTAGTACTATTTTTGTTTTTTGAGGAACCTCTATGCTGTTTTCCATGGCAGCTCTAGATCATGCATTCTATTTCTGTTTTTTGGAGAAACCTCTGTGCTGTTTTCCATAGCAGCTATACTAATTTACATTCCCACAAAAAGTGTACTAGTATTCCACTTTCTCAGTGTCCTTACCAGCATTTGTTATCTTTTCGGTAATAGCCATTTTAATTGGAGTGAGATGTTATTTCATTGTGGTTTTGATTTGCATTTCCCTGATGGTTAGTGATGCTGAACATTTTTTCTTATACCTCTTTGCAATTTGTATGCCTTCTTTGGTAAAATTTTTATTGAAATCATCTGCCATTTAAAAAAATTGGATTATTTGTTTTTGGTGTTTTGTTTTGCTACTGACTTCCTTATATGTTCCACATATTAATCCCTTGTCAGATGGATAATTCGAAAATATTTCCTCCCATTTTTAGATTTCTCTTCAATTTATTGGTTGTTTCTTTTCTGTGCAGAAGCTTTTCAGCTTAATGTAGTTCCATTTATCTATTTTTACTTTCATTGACTATTTTTGATGTTTTACTCAAAAAATCTTTGCCCAGACCAGTGTAATGGACTTCTTGATAGTAACCATAATAATGATTGCCAGTAGAAATCCTTAACTATGTCAGATACTATCTCATTTTTTAAACTAATCCTTTGAATTAAGTACTATGATTATCTCCATTTTTCAGAGAAGGAAATACAGTATACAGGTTTAAAGAGTAAACAACTTTCTCAAGGTTACACAGTTAGTAAGCCATGGAGCATGAATCTAAGCAAGGTGTTTGAGTCCAAAGAATATGTAGTCAACCACCAAGAAATACATCCTCCCAGTGATTAATGGCAACTAGTAGGCATGAGGAGATAAATTTGAACATGAGGTGACAGGTAGGGGAAGAAGTATGTCATGTAAGTGGAAGAAGAGTTGCCTGGGCATGTGCATATAGGGGAATAGAGAAATGGGCAGCTATTTCCCATAAATGGGATATTATATCTAATAGGGAATGTCGGTAAGTAGGGTAAGTGACTATTCACCCAAGGCCAAGAAGATGGAGAAAGTCAACATATTAGGAAAGCCTAAACTGGTCTGGTATAGGTCAAGGTATAAAATTCAAGTCCTAATACGGTTTAGTTTGATGGGAACCATTTAACAAGAATGCAGCTTCCTAGTTGTCTGTCTATATGAAATGATTTCTGTTTGTTCAGAATTGTTTATGCATGTCTTAACTCACTGTGACACACAAGTATATGCCATGTTTTGTTTCTTGAGATTGTAATGCCTCATAAATTTACATTTAATGGAAAATGAATAGTAATCCCAAAGCCTATATAACTTAATAAATTGCAATAACTTTTTAGCAAAAATCAAAATTGGCTTAGAATGAGAATTGTTAGAGTGATAATAGCTGGGAGAATTTTTAACTGGTTTGGGAGTTTTTTCTCCATACTTATTTCCCCAAGACCCATAATGATCTCCATTTCATGGCATCTATGTATTCTACATGTGCCTTGGTGTAAGAATTTTAAGATTGTGGGAAATGGATGATTTCTTAGGGTTTTATCTATGAAGTAAATTTTAATATTGATATATTTTATATAAATGATAAAACAGAAGCCAGTTGTAGCTTGGATTGTCCATAAATTAAATATACATAGTTTTTCAGTATGGTTGTACTCTGCACAATTTATAACAACAGATTAAAACAACATTCTTGATTGTGTAATCATTAGTCACTATTCACAGTATTTTCTTCATCTGGATAATATAGAAGAGCAAGATACAGTTCTTCATTATGTGGTTCTCAAATAATTATATCTTAGGTGCAGAATGTTTTGTTGCTCTGTCTCAGTACTTATACATTGAACATTGATTTCGTGTATGCAAGGGTTTCTGTCGTATCTTCCAAAGTTTGTTTGAATATTGTTTAAAGGTGTTTATAGAAGGTGTTCACTTAGAAGACCAATATTAGAGACTGTTCACCAAATGACTTGGACATGCCTTTTGGAGCTTCCTAACCGTGGAAAGTGTCAGCTTTCACATGGCAAATGCAGAGACTCAAGATCAATGCTTTCAAATTGATGCTTAGTATTTGATAGCTGATTCCCTAAATTTCACAGAAACAATGGCAAAGCCATTGGAAAAATTTGGCCCAAAAAGGGGCTTGGGTATCAGTGATGGTGATTCTTGGGCATTTAAAAAGATGCTTAAATGTTGAACGGTTGTAGAGACGAATATACCGTGGAAGTTTAGTAAAGATTAATTATCTGGTAGAAGAGAAAGAGAAAATGGATTTATCTCTAGCACAAAGATGAGATACTTTATTGAGGAAGGGTTTTGGTCAATAAATCTTTTTTTTTTTTTTTTTTTGAGACGGAGTTTCTCTCTTGTTACCCAGGCTGGAGTGCAATGGCGCAATCTCGGCTCACCGCAACCTCCACCTCCTGGGTTCAGGCAATTCTCCTGCCGCAGCCTCCTGAGTAGCTGGGATTACAGGCACTAGCCACCATGCCCAGCTAATTTTTTGTATTTTTTTTTTGTAGAGACGGGGTTTCACCATGTTGACCAGGATGGTCTCGATCTCTTGACCTCGTGATCCACCCGCCTCGGCCTCCCAAAGTTTTGGGATTACAGGCATGAGCCACTGTGCCCGGCCAGCTTGGTCAATAAATCTTAAGCTCAACCCTCCACCAGGATTGGCCTAAGGAAAGAAATAGAATAAAACTTCAGATACCAATCAGATAGAATGTTCTCTGTAGCTAATCTTTAAAATAAATTCTGAAATATATATTGTTCCATTAACCATGTATAATTTACAAAAACATTTCCTACTTTAATGGAATTATCAAGTTGAATTTTGTATTCCAACTCTTACTAATAAAAGGAAACAGATTAAGAGAGAAGCTGTTGGTTAGCTATCTGACCATCTGTTTGTTTTCAGATCTACTTTGCAGCCCACAAGGAGGCCCTTTAAACCCAGCCCTTAATGACTTTCTTCAATCCAGACCAAGATTAAACAAAAGTACATTTAGAGAGACACGGCCATTTATTTTTATTAATATGAGGACAAAGCTGACTTTTTACACTTGGCCAGCCGAGAAGAATTTTAAGCAAGAGGATTTTTTTCTAGCCCAGGTCTTGCATGTTGGTTTTATTCGTTTGTGTGAAATCTTACAAACTGTCAGAACATCAGGCAAAAATTTCAATTATAAGTTTAAAAATATCATAACAAATTCAAAGACTGTATATTTAAAGTATTCAATGACAGTAGTTTTTTTGTTGTTGTATTGCCCTTTCGTTAGCATAACTAAGATTTTTTTTTTTTTCTTTTTAGGATGGAGTCTTAACTCTGTCACCCAAACTGTGGTGTGGTGGTGTGATCTTGGCTCATTGCAACCTCTGTCTTTCAGGGTCAAGCGATCACCTGTTTCAGCCTCTCAAGTAGCTGGGACCACAGACATGTGCCACAAAGTCTGGCTAACTTTTGTAGTTTTGGTAGAGATAGGGTTTCACCATGTTGCTCAGGTTGGTCACGAACTCTTGAGCTAAAGCGATCTGCCCTCCTCGACCTTCCAAAGTCCTGAGATTACACCTCGCTCAGCCTCTTAAGATTTGACTTCAGTAAAGGCAACACTTACTTATGCATTGTATACCTCAGGCAAGTTGCCCAGGGCTTTACCTGCATTATTTTATTTAATTGATCTTGACAATAACATTTTAACATAGTTATTACTATGTTAAAAGATTCACAGCCGTTCAAGCCTGTAATCCCAGCACTTTGGGAGGCCAAGGCGGGTGGATCACGAGGTCAAGAGATCGAGACCATCCTGGTCAATACGGTGAAACCCCGTCTCTACAAAAAAAAAATACAAAAAATTAGCTGGGCATGGTGGTGCGTGCCTGTAATCCCAGCTACTCAGGAGGCTGAGGCAGGAGAATTGCCTGAACCCAGGAGGCGGAGGTTGCGGTGAGCCGAGATCGCGCCATTGCACTCCAGCCTGGGTAACAAGAGCGAAACTCCGGCTCAAAAAAAAAAAAAAAAAAAAGATTCACAGATTAAAATTCATTTTATGTAATTGGAGGGGGTATCTCTAAGATCCAGAAACATAGGTACATTGCTGAAGACCAAAGAGCTAGAAATGGTAGAGCTGTGAGTAGAGCCCTGGTGTTCGGACTTCAGAACCCACTCCTAAAGACTGCATTATTTACATATCCTCTGTATATAGGTATTGAATAGAAATTATAAATACTACATAAAAATCCTGTTATATGATTTGGAAATTAATTACCATTTAAAAGGGGGTGATGTCCAAGTAGGCAAATGTGTCCTCATTCATATCCATACTCGAGAGTGAGGTGAGAGTTGGTATTGGTAGGCAGGCTGGGTGTAGGGAGGATAGTAGCACCATGCTGTTTTACAATTTAGTTCTTTTTTTTAATCAAATGAGTTAATTGACACACTTAAAAATAATATTTGTCTGTACTTCCTTATGCTGGCCTGTGTTACATATTGAATTTTTATGACTGATTCTCTTCCATGTTATGTGGCTATAGACCAACATAATTAAAAGGTAGTTTTTATGATTCTGTAACTCTAAATTGACCAGGAAGGCAGTACTGCTATAACTTGTAAACTCTGGTTTTAGACTCTAGTACTTGAGTTGTGGCCATTTGGCTTAGTTCTTTTTGGAAATGAGACCCTGTCCTAGGGTTAGGGTTGAGCCAAGCCTTTCTGCTTGGGGGATTTCCAAAAATGAGTCAAGACAAATAAAATTTCCCTTTTCAGACACCAGAAAATATTCATCTTAAGTAACATTTACTACATGAGAAAATTTTGTCTGTTGTACCATCACCTTTCAGCCAGTTGTTTCATTGTAAGTGCAGCATATTTTTCTGTTAAAATGATGAGTAAATATATATTTAATAGTAGTTATATGATACTGGAGATGATTCTTTTCAGTATGTTATATCAAATTTGATTTAGAAGAAAGACAAGCATAGACAGTTAGTTACTTAATTTATTAAACATATGATCAATCATCTTACTTTAATTGCTCATGCAAATTGTCAGCTTTAGTGGATAATAATACTAAGAACTATAATTCATTGAGTGCTTACAGTATGTCAGGCACACCAGTAAGAACTTTATACATATTATTGCATTTTTCTGACAACTCAATGAAGCCAGTACCCTTATTAACTCTGTTTTTAAGAAGAGGGGCTCAGAGAACTAGCAAGGTCACAGAGCTGGCAAAGCACTCCCCAGGTTTGTCTGATTCCAGGGCCCATGATCTTAAGCCCTATGCTATTCTGCCTACTGGTTGATATTCACTAATTACCCACTCTGAATGCAGCTCTGAAACTGATTTCAAGTCATTGTAATACTTCTTTTCTGACGAACTTGAAAAGCCATGAAAAATACTTCTTAATTAATTGGACTATAGCAATACTTGGTCTATAGAAATACTAAGGATAATTCTGGTGATCTTTTACATTAAGTGGAGAACTTGAGTTTATCAGTGGAGAAAATCAAAGTTTTAAGTGCTGAGTATATACTTTTAGTTAGAATGCAGAACATATACCTTTATCCCAATTTCAGAAAATCATTTTATTGCAATCTAATGAAAAGTAGATAAGATGGATTTCTTTTTGAAGATTTTTAAAGCTTTTTCAGCTTTAAGGATGAGATATGTGTTGTTGGCTGTTGCCTGTGTGATTTGAGTAGGTCATAAAACTTTCTTTGCCTCTCATCATTCTCACAAGTTGAATATGAGTAACTAAAAATGAAGATTATCATGAAAGAAAGTTTCCACAAGTGTGTGATGGTTAATACTGAGTGTCAACTTGATTGGATTGAGGGATTCAAAGTATTAGTCTTGGGTAGTGTCTGTTGTGGATGTTGCCGAAAGAGATTAACATTTGAGTCAGTGGGTTGGGGAAGTCAGATACACTCTTAATCTGGTGGACACAATCTAATCAGCTTCCAGCAAATGTAAAGCAGGCAGAAAAATGTGAAAAAGAGAGATAGGCCCAGCCTGCCAGTCTACATGTTTCTCCCAAGCTGGATGTTTCCTGCCTTCAAACATCAGACTTTAAGTTCTTCAGTTTTGGGAGTTGGACTGGCTCTCATTGCTCCTCAGCTTGCAGACAGTCAATTGTGGGACCTTGTAATCATGTAAGTTAATACTTAATAAACTCCCCTTTATATATATGTGTGTGTATATATGTGTATATGTATATATATATATCTTATTCTGTCCCTCTAAGAACCGTGACTAATACAAAGCGTTATTGGAAATTCATTACTAAAAATAATGAAATCTGATCTCATAATTTCAGAAAAAGCATAATTGGTCTTGTGAGTCAGGAAATATTTTGAACTTCTCAAAGATGCAGTAGTTGGGGTGAAGTATTTTCAGGGAATTTCTACTTAAAATTTAAGAGGAAAGGTAGGCCTAGCACAATGGCTAATGTTTATAATCCCAGTACTCTGGGAGGCTTAGCGGGGATGATCATTTGAGGCTAGGAGTTTGAGACCATCTTAGGCAACAAAGCAAGACAAAAAATAAAAAAAGAATAAAGGTGTTAAATTTAAACTTTCTAAACAATGTTGAGGGGACAATCAGGGTTGTTGGTGGTGATGAGACTATTTTCCAGGTAACAAAACAAATAACTGGTGAGTTTTAATGTGAGCAAGATGGAAGTGTGGACAATTTTATGCCCGACATTGAATTTATGTGATTTTTTTTTAAAGAGGATATTGAAAGGCAAGTAAAAAATATTGTGAAAAAAAATGACTAAACATTTATAAATTGCCCAAATTGTACATCAGATTAGGATTTTTTTAATTAGAGTTTTAAGTTAATGTCAAAGAATGAGTTTTGTTTAGTGTGTGTTTATATCCAGTTAGAAATTATGTGGCTATGATTAGGCTCTGTTTTGGGAGCTTAAGAGAAGAGTACATGTCTCACTTGGGATTTAATCTGACTCTACCCAAGAGTTGAACTGGAGAAGTAAAGTACACATCCCGGGGACCCTTATGATGCCCAAATGTCAGGGGCTGCTTGGGATAGATCCCACTGGACACACAGCGTGTGTGTACTTTCCAAAGTCAGTCACTCTAGGTTTCCTGAAAACTCAAAGCATCTAATATGATCTTTCAAAATTATGTCTACATGTCCAAGTGGATGTACTATAAATCAATGTCTAATTGCTTTTTGAAAATTATTTATTTGCAGAGATTGAATTGATTTTTTTTTTTATGTCATATTGTGGTTGGGTAGGGAAGTCTTAGAATTGTACTTTCTGGTTAAAGTGTAAAACTAGCGATACAGTGCATAAACATTATATTGCTTAAAATATATGAGAATGCCTGAAAAGGACCTATTAGTGCAAAAATGAGATTTCATTTTGTGCAGCAGCTCATGTAAGAGAAGAGATTTGGGGGAAGGAAAAAAAAGCAAGATTTGAAAACTTGGATTATCAAAACATGGATTTCTCCAAAAGCAGTTATAAGAAAAAATAGTTAGACTATCTCCCAGTGATTGAGGTAACCATGATTCTGCACCCACACCTCCATAAATTTCCAACACTTGATGTCACACAATTTCTTAAAATATTTGAAGTTAGAGGTGGCCAGACTTCAAGCGACAGTGACACAAGATGGCAGCCACCACAGGCTTGGGAATAAAAACCGCTCGCAATTTCCCACTGTTGGAAGAACTTGAAGAAGGCCAGAAAGGAATAGGAGATGGCACAGTTAGCTGGGGTCTAGAAGATGAAGAAGACATGACACTTACAAGATGAACAGGTATGATAATTGGGCTTCCAAGAACAGTTGATGAAAACCGAATATACAGCCTTAAAGTAGAATGTGGACTAAATACCCAGAAGCACCCCCCTTTGTAAGATTTGTAAAACAAATTAATATGAATGGAGTTAATAGTTCTAAATGCAGTGGTGGACCCAAGAGCCATATCAGTGATAGCAAAATAGCAGAATTCATATAGCATCAAAGTTATCCTACAAGAGCTTCGGTATCTAATGATGTCTAAAGAAAGTAGGAAACTCTCTCAGCCGCCTGAAGAACAGTGTTACAGCAATTAATCAAAAAGAAAAACCACAGGCCTTCCCTTCCCTCCCCATTCAATTTAAGCAGTCTTCATTTTCCACAGTAGTAAATTTTCTAGGTACGTCTTATAGACCTCAAAGTACTGGAAAGGAAACTGCCATTCAAAGGAAATTTATCTTAAGATACTGTAAATGATACTAATTTTTTGTCCATTTGAAATATATAAGTTGTGCTATAATAAAAAAATTTGAAGTTAGAATGGTGAGCATTAATTTGTGTATTTGTTAGTAAAAATATAGAGAAATTTTTATTTCATATGATTAATGGTGAGATTTTTCTGTGAAAGCATATGATAAAAAGATAGATGACATGTTGCATATAATAGCATTATGCATTTTTTCTAATTTTTTTTTAGTTTCAGCAAGTGCCTTCAGCAACTTTCAAGTCATATAAGGCAGATTTCTGCACCTAATTAACAGATTTTGAGGCAAGGTTAATTTTTTTTTTTTTTTTTTTGAGATAGAGTTTCGCTCTTGTTACCCAGGCTGGAGTGCAATGGCGCGATCTCGGCTCACTGCAACCTCCACCTCCTGGGTTCAGGCAAGTTTCCTGTCTCAGCTTCCTGAGTAGCTGGGATTACAGGCACGAGCCACCATGCCCAGCTAATTTTTTTTTTTTTTTTGTATTTTGAGTAGAGACGGGGTTTCACCGTATTGACCAGGATGGTCTCGATCTCTTGACCTCGTGATCCACCCGCCTCAGCCTACCAAAGTGCTGGGATTACAGGCGTAAGCCACCATGCCCGGCCTAAGGTTAATATTTTTACAGTTTATTTTTTAACTTTCAAACTAATTAATGGACCCATGAAGTTAAAAATACTTTGTAGAACTCTACTGTAGAATAGTACTATTTCAAAATTAAACAAAGTGATGAGCAACAGCTTGTCTACCTCTTTCACTTCTTATTACACAGGATATAATTATAAATTGGTACGTTTCTAAATAAATATTTATGAATGGATGGCTTGTTGAAATTCAAGTGTAAAACAGGCCACCCAAGTGGAGATTTGCAGTTGCTAGTTGGAAATGTGTGACTAGAGTTTGCAAAAGATGGTGAATGGAGAGTAGATATGGGAGTCATTCACATATAGGTGCTGCTTCAAACCTTGGAAAAGAGTGGGCTCACTAGGAGAAAGGGATTATGGCAGGAGATGAGAAGAGAGCAGAAAACAAAAACAGGACTTTGCTAAAAGTTCACATTTAGGAGGAGGTGAAAGAAACCGGAACAACAGGAAACAGGTGGATTCATTAGGAAAGATCAGAGTAACATCTTGTAATAGAAACCAAGGTAAGGAAGAATTTTCAAGGAGAATGAACATTGTTTGTTAGTTTCATACAGGAATTATGACAACTGATAAAAGGTCATTGAATTCAAAATAAGGAAATTATTAATGACCTTGGAGATAAGCACTTACAGTAGAGTGGTGAAAACAACAGCGTGATTGGGAAAGGTTAAGAAATGGAGCACATAATGTAGAAGAGATGAGTATGTAGACTAATACATACTGAAAATAGTTAAAATTATATTATTCCAGAGTTGTTAAAAAAGAAGAAAATTAAGTGAACTGAAATTTTTCCTAGTAAAATTCTATTTGTCTGTTTTCCCAGCCTATATTTATCAGATCATTGTTGATTTTTTTTTTTTTTTTTTTATAAGCACTTACAGTAGAGTGGTGAAAACAACAGCGTGATTGGGAAAGGTTAAGAAATGGAGCACATAATGTAGAAGAGATGAGTATGTAGACTAATACATACTGAAAATAGTTAAAATTATATTATTCCAGAGTTGTTAAAAAAGAAGAAAATTAGGTGAACTGAAATTTTTCCTAGTAAAATTCTATTTGTCTGTTTTCCCAGCCTATATTTATCAGATCATTGTTGATTTTTTTTTTTTTTTTTTTTTTTTTTTGAGATGGAGTTTCGCTCCTTACCCAGGCTGGAGTGCAATGGCGCGATCTCGGCTCACCGCAGCCTCCGCCTCCTGGGTTCAGGCAATTCTCCTGCCTCAGCCTCCTGAGTAGCTGGGATTACAGGCACGCGTCACCATGCCCAGCTAATTTTTTGTATTTTTAGTAGAGACGGGGTTTCACCATGTTGACCAGGATGGTCTCGATCTCTTGACCTTGTGATCCACCCGCCTCGGCCTCCCAAAGTGCTGGGATTACAGGCTTGAGCCACCCCGTCCGGCCATTGTTGATTCTTTAATTTCACCATAGAATCAATTTTAAACGACCTCAATTTCTAGTAGCTGAAACATTCAATAATTAATATTTGGATATTGTGACACAGAGAGAACATGAATATTTGTGACAGGGAAGAATGAAACAAATATTTTTATATTGTTCTACTTGAGAATGTCCAATGAATAGTTTTATCAGACAAATGAGTGTTATTTAAAAAGCATTTAATTACCCTTGTAAAATATAAGCAGGAAAGTCGAAGTTGTCATAAAAAGTATGAAAAACAGCTGGACAATTTCTATTTCCACCGTTTATTTGTTTAACTTTACTAAAGACCAGTTTGATTCTTTAGAACAGATTGCTTTTTACACTTTGACTTCTGGCTGTGGGATGGATTATGTTAGTTATAAGAAAGTGTAACTGATCTAATACTTTACACTTATTTTCCTTTTCCCCTAATGCTAATCTAGCTTCTAGGAGGCTGGAAAGAGTATAGGGTTAGAATGTCGGTAGGCACATCACTTTCTTTAAGATTCCCGGGCTGATTTAAGATCTGGTGAATATTATTCAAGAAAGAAGATAAAGTTAATTCCATTTACTTGGAATTAAATCAGAATTAAATGGAATTAAATCAGAAGTTTGGGATTCCATATCAACGACATTATTAAATTCTAGAGGAGTTTATGGAGCTCTGGTTCCATAAACTCTCACCCCTAGAATTTCATACCTCTACATTCAATACTTCTGCACTGAACTAACTTGATAGTATGTGCACATACATGTACCATATAAACACTTGGCAGAGATGCTCAAGTGCAAAGTTTTTACAGGATGGAAAATTTGAATAGATTATGTAGATAGGTCCTGCCGATTCTGGATCTATGATTTGTGCTTGAAAATTATCTTGCTTTCATCCTCAAATTCACTCAATCATTCAGAAAATACTTATTGCCAGCCACTGGACTAAACTCTGGACCTAGGCTCTCAAGGGTGAGAAAAGGCCAAGAATAAAGATTTCCTCAGCCTCCTCCCTGAGCCATAATGAGGGAGAAAGTACGGGGATGTCAATTTGAGGGACTAGGTTACATGGCCTGCAAATAAGAAGGAACTTAAGGCAGAGGTTCTTTAAGGACTCCCTGCCTTCCTGTTGGTAAACTGTCTCACAGAAATGAGCATTCTCCTGTCCCCCAACAAGTGTGCAAATATAGTCTGCATACCCTCTCCAGTCACCCTGACAATGCTCTTCTTGTTGAATGACAGTTCTGAAAAGCGATAATTTATTACTTCAATTAAACTTTTACCCAGTTTTGTTGCCATTTCACTAGCAGAAGTGTGGAAAGTAGATCTTAAGCACAATTTTCACTTCCTTCTTATACTGGAACATTCCCCAAAGGCATGACTATTATACAGTTCTGATTAAAGCCAAATGCTGCAGTCATAATAAATTAAAGCTTTGTGGCTTCATTGTCTGTTTCTATCATTTATCCTGCGATTATGGAACAAAGCCCACTAAATTCCCTATTTTATTATCTGAAAAATACCTTTCAGCTTCTTCTATAATTCCTTCACCTTGAGATCACTCTGGCCATGATCTTTTGTGTAAACAACTATGTCTCATAAAAATCTGAATTGTATTAATTAATTCCTTTATTTATAATCTCAACCATTTTATGTTTGTCACTCTTTCTTCTCTCTTTGGCTTTTTCCCTCTCTTTTCCAAGGGTTATAGGATTTCTGACGTTAGGTTTAAAGTTTAGTTCAGGATTCTATGTATCAATATGCTTTATTTACATTTTGTTTTAATTTTCAACTTTTTTTTTTTTTGAGACGGAGTTTCGCTCTTGTTACCCAGGCTGGAGTGCAATGGCGTGATCTCGGCTCACAGCTACCTTTGCCTCCTGGGTTCAGGCAATTCTCCTGCCTTAGCCTCCTGAATAGCTGGGATTACAGGCACACAACACCATGCCCAGCTAATTTTTTGTATTTTTAGTAGAGACGGGGTTTCACCATGTTGACCAGGATGGTCTCGATCTCTTGACCTCGTGATCCTCCCGCTTTGGCCTCCCAAAGTGCTGGGATTACAGGCTTGAGCCACCGCACCCGGCAATTTTCATTTTTTGTGTGTACATAGTAAGCACACATATTTATGAAGCGTATGAAGCACTCTAATACAGGTGCATAATGTGCAATAATCACATCAGGGTAAATAGGGAATCCATGAACCCAAGCATCTATCTTTTCCTTGTGTTACAAACGATCTAGTTATACTCTTTCAGTTATTTAAAAATGTACAATAAATGATTGTTGACCATAGTCACCCTGGTTGCATGATCAAATAATAGATCTTATTCACTGACTCTATTTTTTACCCATTAACCATCCCCATCCTCCCTACCCATTACCCTTCGCAGCTTCTGGTAATCGTCTCATTCTACTCATTCTATCTCCATGAGTTCAATTGTTTTAATTTTTAGCTCCCACAAATAAGTGAGAACATGCAAGCTTTGTCTTTCTGTGCCTGCCTCATTTCACTTAAAATAATGTCCTCCAGTTATATTCGTGTTGTCACAAATGAAAGGATCGCATTCTTTTTATGGCTAATACTCCATTGTGTATATGTGCCACCTTTTCTTTATCCATTTGTCTGTCAACGGACACCTAAGTTGCTTCCAAATATTGGCTAATGTGAATAGTGCTGCAAAGAGTCCTGTGAAGAGATTCATCTTCAGGACTTCCAGCCATGGAAATCAGTGGAGGTGGCACTGGAGTGTAGTCAACTCTTGACAGTCCTTGGTTTTAGTTTTGTTTAATATTCTGATTTTCTCAAATGCTGATTATTCTAGCAGCGAAGTTGTCACATGGACAGACTCGGGACCTCTGGTTAGCCAGAATGTTAGAGGCAGTGGAATGAGTATTGTTTTTTCTTTTGGAGCAGAGTTATTCTGTTATGAGTTGCTGTAATGGCTTGAGTTGGTTGGCCTCCAGCCAGGAGATGTTGTTCTCAAGAGAGCACCAGCTGTGTTAGTAAAAGGGGAATAAAACTTTGCCCTAAATTGCCCAGGATAATTATT